CCTGCAGCTGCTTTGTAGGTCTCTGCCTCTGTGCTACCCAAAAGTGCCACCCAAACAAGAAGAGAGGAGGCAGCTTCTTCCTCTTGTGTAGTCATGTCTATCAACATTCCCAAGAAGGCAGTTGACTTTGTTGTGAGGATTAGGCTAGAAGACCTCCAGAAGCCACTTCCAATCTGGAAGTATCTGCTTCTGTGACATCCTAGAATTAAAACCAAATTGGCAGGAAAACAAATACCAGTTCCTACACAGTTTTTATTTCACTTCTGATTATGAGTCATTAGTTAGGATCTTTCTGAAGTTTTCCTGGACTTTGTTTTGGTCTTTAATTCAATCCTAGAAGAGTCAAAGGCAGTTTCTTGTGCTCTTGCAGCTAAACCATGCTCTTGAAAGAAGATGAATGACCTGATCTATCCTAAATCCTGTTCAGTTTCCAAAGCAACAGAAGCCACGTCCTCCACTGAAACATCTCATGGCCAGACCTTGGTTCTGGGGTATGTGGGAGCCTGTTGCCATCAGGACTTTAGGAGAATGTATCAGGACCACAAATATACAAGCAGAAACCTGAAGGTCCAACTAGACTCAACCAAGGAAAGTTTTCTTCCAATCTTTTATTCACTGTGAGTGAGTGCATGACCTCCAGCCCCAGAGAAATCTCATGACTACATGCTGAGAAATCACTGCTTGAATAGATGCTGTAATTTTTAGAAACAAAGGAACAGTACTGTGCTCTAGAAGTCTCCAGATGGGGATGATGAAGCCCATAACTTGCCAGACTTTTTTTTTTTTTTTTTTTTTTTTAAAGTTTTAAGTGGGAAGCATCCTATTCACCTCAGGGGGAATGATCTCATCCACCTACCTGCTTCTTGGCAGCTTTCAAGATGGTAAGAGACCAAGCGATGTCTCCAGGATGGCAGTGAACTTCTCACAGAGCTCTTCTGGCTGAATTCATGCTAAACTGGTATTAACATCAGTTCCTTTATCTCCATTTCTGAAAAAGGCTCCAAGCATTAACAGCTTCAGGTAATGACTCATGGGTTTAAATTCCTAAACCTTTTGAGAACAGGAAATTAAAGCCAAGATGAACAATACCCACAGATTAAATATATTTAGCTGCTGTGTTTCTTGTTGAGAAACTCAGAACTGTTTAGTGGTGCTTTTCATGTGGCTGCTCCATGTGGCAATGATGGCAGCCTGCACTTGGAAGTCAAACCAGCAAACTAAGAGGGGGATGCAGGAAGACATTTTATTGTTTTCCTTGTGCTTTCTGCTCTCCAGCAGAGCTCCTCCAGGCAGGAGTTTCTCACTAGCTCCCTCAGCAACAGATAAAAACAACTAAAGGAACAGCCTCGAATTATGTGGTAGGGCACAAGCCACAAGGGAGGGAAACCACACTTCTCTGGGCAAGTTCTTCCAGGAGGGAGTCTCTGGAAATGTTTGCAGAAGTAGGTCACGCTCGCTCCGGGCAGGCAGCAGCAGACAAAAGCTGGGCTCCAGCATGCACCATCACGGCGCTTCCTCCCTGTGAGATAACCAGGGAAAGCATGCAGCTCCCAGCATCTCCCTCCTCCTTTTGTGCTGAGGCATTCTTTTCGGCATTTCGTCCACAGCTTTGTTGAGTCAGGAATCAAAACCATCCCTTGGAGCCCCAGTTCAGTGCCCTGGCTGCTAGGTCCTCGCTCCTCTGCTCCCAGGGCTGCCTGTTGACAGCTGGTGCATAGAGCCAAGGATCTCAGCTCTCTGTTTTTTCCTACTTCATTAGCTAAACAAACAATCACACCATATAAAATACCACCCGGCTAGTCCGCCTGGGAGATGCAAACCCATGCAAAAGGATCTCTGAGACAGTTTTAGAAACAGGCTGTGCCTCTGCCAAACGCAAGCGCTTGGATCAGGGTGGTTGCTGATCGTGCAGCTCCAGCTCTTGGAGAGCCACCAGCTCACGAGGATGGAGCACAGTCATCAAGATATGAAGACCTGGGCTATAATACTCATACAGCTTTCAATTAAAAGGCTGTGTATGAACAAAATACATTGAGTAATTCAATGGCATTATTTTGGGCTTAAACAGAACACATTATACGGACATTTATGCAAACACAGTAATGCTGGCTGTCTGTATGGGAGACTCACATTTCCCCATAACTCTCAGCACCAGATGTTTAAACCTAAGCTGCCACAGGAGACCAAGACTGACTGCAGTAAAAAGCAGGAAGAAAGGCATCTGCATAAATAAATCCTTCCCCCACGCCTCCATTGGTTATTCAGCACTTAGCCAGGAATGGGTTATGGCTCCGGGACCCACCAGAAATCCAGGCAGATGAACGCAGGGGAAGGAGCCCACGGGTACCTGGAAGAGGAGATGGGACTGCAAAATTCCTTGCCCCTTGGACTTTCATCTTTTTGTTCAATTTGCACCAAATCCTCCTCAACAGAGGCACCACGAACAAAAGCCATCTGAGAAAAGCTGCTGGCACAGTGTGACAAAATTGTTCAGGTGGGGAAAATTTGTCATCCAACACAGCCTGCAAGGTGTCCCCAGCTGCAGAAGAGACTGCTCTGCAGAGCAACAGACCCTTGCAAAGCCTAGATGCATGGGGCCATCCAGCTTCCACCACCAGGGTGACTTCAGCCAATGCTTGTCCCAGCCTGCAGTTAATGAGAGCCAGCAGAAAACCCTGGGAAACTTAGCAGCTTCTGGTGAGTTTGGGTCAGATCTCTGAGGTTAAAGGCCAACACTTACGCAGGCTGAGGATGCACTTGTTCTCATGAACGCAGGTGCCAGAGCAGATGGCACCAAAATGCTCCATGACAGATGCCACCACTGGCACCTCCCTGGCACGGCACGCTGTAGCCCGAGGCACCGTGGTGACACCAGGCCCATGCTCCACACAGCGTTTGCTCCTCGGGGACCTCTGATGCCAGACTCAGCGCAGCACATGGTTCAGACTGCCCCGTGACTTAAAAATAGGGCAAGCAACTTGCTGGAGAGAATCAGCTTTTCTGTAAGCAGAATAAATAATTCACACACTGAAGTAGCTAGCTTTAGTGCTTTCCTGTGGCCTAGTCCTAATTTCAGAAGCCTTAGGGAGAAGCGTACCAGGAGCTGGAAAATTAGACCTGCTACTCACATTTCCTTTGAGGTCAAAGCTCCTCCTAATCAGGATCAGTGAGCAGTTTGGTTTGGCCCTGCTTGGATTAGAGTCTGACAAAGCTATTCAAGGTTTGCTCACGTAACTCTAGGTCTTTTCTCTCTACAGCCCCCTTTGCATCCCAGGGCATTTGCTGCTTCTGCAGTCCAGCTACCGAGGACTCCTGCTGCAGGCCAACGTGGAAGCAGGGAGAGTGGCTTCAGTTATGCCACAAATTTAGAAGCAAAATGGGCACTTTGAAAACAAAGACTCAGGAAGTCAGATTATTCTGGCTGATACTTCAGTACTTTGAGAACAGGTTTAGTCAAAAATTCAAACCTGAGCAGTTTTGTCCCAAACAAAGACAGCATTGAGGAAAAAACACAAGACAACAAAACTTTTCCCTGTTTAATGCTTAATCTCAGCTCCTTGGCCAGCCAAGGACTGGTATTTTAAATTTTAGAATGTATTCATTCTCCATGAGAAACCAGCATGAAGCAGAAAGCCCAATACAAAGCTAGCTACTTTCCTTCTAGTGAGACATGCAAGGCTAACCATGAGGGTCAAAGACCTGCAGACCTACGAGTCTCTGATTTTTCAGAAAGATTCACTTGGGAGGAGAGAGGCTGGTCAAACTGACCTTCATCCTCAGCTGCCATCTCTGTATTATACTGCTGTCTCAATACTTCCAGGTTAGCCAATTACTTAAAGATTCAACTCTTTAAGCATCAACTTTGCACCAGAGATGAAAATATCAGTTCCCCTTTTACCCAAAAATGCAGAGAGTACAAACAGCACTAGAGCTACTTAAGGAAACCTTATAGTCCCATTTCCTTTCCAGATCAACCACGCTAGACTCTCATGCAATTACACAGGAGATCTTTTCCAACACCAAACCCAGAAACGTCTATTTTTGTAAAACAATTCAAATTATGTAAATAATTCTCCAGTTCAGGTCCCCCAGACACATAGAGAGGTTTGACTTGGCACGTGCCTACATATTCTCCTCAAGTTCAGTCCACAAGCACTGCAGGTTTTTTAAAGTTTCAACATCCCTCTGACCGTGCACCATGTGGGCAGCCCAGCAAATGAACACCTACATGTGAGCCAAGAAACAGTTGCTGGAATTTTTTTAGTGTTTCCTTGACTTGCAGGCTAGTCCCCACCTTTTCTACACCTTCAGGAGATTCCTGTAGGAAGCTGGCTACCAACATACATACACCTGCAGCAAGGCCGGAGATGTTTAACCGTCCCTTTTACCTGATTATTTAGATGCAGCAGCCAAGCGAGCACCATTAAAACCAGTGGGATGTGCAGCTGGGAGCAGGCTGGAGCCTGGAAGCAGACCTGCCTGTACCCAGGCCATTAAAGGAACAAAACACATCACACCAAACAGGCAGAGCAGACACAGTCACAGCAGAAACATGCAGCACCTAGGCTTGTTCCTCACGCCAGTCATCATCCTAAGCTCTTCTGAGAGGAAACTCAGCTGCAGTTCAGAGCACCTGCATTCAAGAGCCCTAGTTAACCTTTAGATCTCCTTCCCTCTTTATGGGATCTTGGAGACCACCTCACCTTCAGCGCAAACATTGACAGAGCACTTGAAGTAGATAAGAGATGAAACTGCTCGGTACCAGGTTCCTTTGCTTCCCTGTAGCTGTGTTCTCACCCTGAACGTGTGCTAGAGGCAACACAGAAGCTCAGAGTTTTGCCAGACCAAAGTATCTTGCACACCACTGTCAGAAACTGAACATGGTCAAATCAACAGCTCTCCCCCACCCATGGCTCTGCAGCAGAGACCAAAGTTAGGGCAAAGGCAGCATTCCCCCCAGCCCGTGGACAAGCCAGAACTCTTGCAGCACTGAGACCAACCTTGTTGCTTCCTTCATCCCCTTCCAGAATGTCCATACCATGAGCTGGCTGCAAATATTATTTCTTCCTCCTGTCTCCAGCCCACACTAAGAGCTCTGGGCACAGCCTGGCTCTGCTCAGGAACAGACCCACGAGCAGAGGGGAAGAGAAGCTCTTAGTGGAGCACAGCTGTTGCTCCCAAGCCAGCTGGTGCACATGCTCTGGGTTTTGGGATACCTTCTCATCTCCAGCTGGGTAGGACAACAGTGAGTCATCCAAAACACCTGTTTTGCAGAAGGATGAATCTTTGCATTTTCAGCTGGAAAATTAAGCTGAAACCACCTGTTAGGGATGCCTGCTTGCATTTTTGTTCAGTTACATTCATTTACTTTATCTTTTTTTTTTTTTTTTTTTTTTTTTTTTTTTTATCTGAACTCTCATAATTCCCCATGAAATGTGGCTCAACCCCCCTTAAAAGATAACTTCAGCATCTGAAGGGCTGAGCTATGCCAGGACAGGGCTCTTGCACGTCACTTCTATTAATGAGCATCACCAGAAAACTGAGTTTTTTATGGAGAAATTCCCTGCCAACCCCAGATAGAACAAAGCCTTGTCTGCAGGTGGTATGTGCAGGTTGTGGCTGCAGAAACCTGCAGCCTCCTTTGTAACATGACCTTTATGGAAAGTCAGGGGTCAGGCTGGCTAAACCAACAGGAAAAAAAACACCCATGTTGTTCCTGATGCAATACTTGTCAGGGAGGTTTGACATTCCCAAATGCAGTGCTTTAGGCCAAGGGACAATTGGGTGCAGGCCTGATTACCACTCAACTTTTAACCATTTCAAACACATAGCAATCTTCCCATGGTGACAATGCACATACTGAGCAAGGACAAGGGCACCTACAATGGCCTCAGACTACTGCAGGAGGAGATCAAAGCGGCCTGTGTGCATTTCCATCCACCCCACCGGATACGTGTGTGTACAGGGTGCATGCCTCTGGGGGCACTGCTCCTTCTTGTGCAATGTTCAAAGCATCAGGGCTCATTCTCTCGCTCAGAGGGTGGACTGCAGGAGCTGGAGTCTGTAGACAAGCAGCAGCCAGCTTGTCGCATGCGCCACAACTCGATGCAGGTGGTGGCTGGACTCATCCCTCCAGCTTCACGCCAAGTTTAAGTCTTGGCATGACTTCACGGGTTCCATCGAGTTCCCAGAGGATTAACTTGACATGTGGCAGATGAAATCACCAGATCAGATTTCAGCCTGGTCTTCTGCTGCCCTGCGCCTGCAGAAGCACGATAACATTTTGAGGGAAGAACCATCGGTGCAATTCTACCTTATACAGGAATTATGCAGGAATTGTATATAACACTGAGGCCAACAGAAATGCATAAATGTGATATATAAAGCATTACTCGGTAGAGAGGGATTTTTGTATATTGATTTATTCCCATCCAAGAGAACAGCATTTTCTGGCATCAGTGGTGTCCTGAGCACATATTTCAAAGTGAAACACAGACAGGGCAGCCTTTTCCCAGCTGTGCCTGCTGGCAAAAACTTCCAGCCACCATCTCCCCACACTTCCCTGGCCAGAGAGGGACAATGCAATCTGCAAGGCAATTCAGCAAAGGATCTTCAACATCCTCACATGTGAGATGGGACACCAGCACATGGAAGGGCCAGCCAGGTATAACCAGCGGTTTGGGTGGGGAAAAATTCTACCTGAATTCTCCAAACTTCAAAAACGTTCCTGCTTTTGGAAAGTGATGATAAGTCAAGCAGGATTTGCGTAGACACCGTGAGAGGTGAGAACAGGCTCTAAATACAATCTTATGTGACTGAATTTTAAGCACTCGAGTCAGATTCTTTTGGCATTACAGTGATAATCTTGGCATCATCACTCCCACAGTTGCCTGTGATTAGCAGTTGCCACATTTGAGTCTTCTTGTGTTCATTAACATCCAGGTTCTGCCTGACACTCTGCTGGGGCTGCAGATGAGACCACGGAGAGGACTCAGAGATGTTTGACAGGACAGATTTCAGTCATTCCTTTTCCTTCATCTCTGACCATCATGATTTTCTTCCTAGACCAAATACTCCTTTCCTTTTGTTCTGGTTTTCTCTGACAGCACAGTTAGCGCTATCAGAAATAACAGCAGTAGGTGGGTGAGACAGCAGTGTCCTGCCGGCGTCTTCTCACTCCCTGGTTGCCACAAGTGTGAGTGTACCAGCTTTTCCTAGCACTGCAGGCCCAGGAATAGTTAGCCTCTTCAGCTGGAAACTGAAAGTCTGAACCTACAAAGAAAAGCCAGATGGGGGGAGAGGCTCCCATCCTCATTCGATATGTATGGTCAACAAGAGACAAAGCAGAACATGAATCAATAACATATTCAAAGGACAGGATTAGCTTTAATGGAAGAGAGTATAATACAGGGAAATTCATAGAAAAGTACTTTCCCATACCCGGGAAGCGTACTTGCCAATGTCACAGACTGCTGCTGGCAGAGCTGGGACTCAAAAACAGACCCTTGGCCAAATCTGTCTTAACCACAAGGCAGTTGTTGGCTCTCGAGCGTTAGTGTGAGTAGTTTGTATTTTATCTCCGTTAGAAGTCTTTAGTAAGTTGGGGCAATGGGGACATAGCATTCCACCTTTAAACTGCCTCTGGAGAGCCATATCCTCTTATCCATGAGGAGAGCAGAGGAGGCCAGGGAGGCATTGTCTGCTTGCCACATTAAGATAAAACAAATTGCTGCAGAGCTCTTTTCTATTACCTTATGGTTGATGACTTCCTTGACTTCTCAAAAACAAAAACAAACAAACAAAACCCAACAGTATTTTACTAAGAATCCCCATGTTTTCACACATCTTTGCTGGAGGTTTTTAGAAGCTAAAGTGCCAAACTCACCCCCTGTCACTGATGTCCCTGGGTCACCAGCTTAGGTACCTCAGCACAGAGCAAAGCAAGCAGAGACAGCCTTAAAGGAAACACAACAGTGTAAAAGCCTAGAACAACAGATGCTCAAGGAACTTTTTCTCAGCCACTTTCCGTTCATTCAAGGCTGGCTTAGCCCAAGAAGTATGAGACCTTCCAAGGCAGAAGTTGGATGGTTTCTGTTCCTGTATGTTTTCTAAGGTATCAGTTTATCTCCAAGCAGCCTGAATTTGGGTTAGTTTTGCAGAGCCCTTGACAGGCTGTACCCTGGGGAAATCTCCCAGACTTCTGTTTTCATGACTACAGCTGACCTTCAAGACTTCTGTGCCTTCTTCCTCAAACCCCTGCTCTGTGGTCCCATCTTGAAACTATTTCTGATAGTGTCCTGAAAAAGGGACAGGATTTCAGTTCCATTCTGCCACTATTGCTAATAGAGTAACACCTTGAAATCCCAGCATCCAAGTTGTAACAGTCACTGGAAAAACAAGCAGGATTCCTCTTAGATCAAATAGCACAAGCTATGATCATATTGAATACTCACAATACTGGATTTGCCTTTCTTCCCACATTTCTTTCTTCTAAAATGAAATATCTTAATAGCTATTAATAACTTAGAAATCAATGCCTTTGCCAAATGTCCTGTGTTGTGTCTGTAACCAACTTCCTATGCCTCATGACATGAACCCTGAAAAAACACCTTCTGTGCTCACTCCAGCCAAAGGCAGAGAATAGGAGCCTACTTGATAACTGAAGAGCTTCTGACCTGACATATGGAAAAGATCTCGCTACGGCCTTGCTCTTCTATTTGTTATTCATATAACAAAACCAGTTCCTAGACCTAGAGATTATAAGCTCTCTCTGGGTTTGCTCTGCACTACGGCATGTGACTCTCTATTGCTCAGTGTGCCAAAGGAGGACCTCGGAGAAGTGGCAGAGGGCTGTTTATCCAGCTGACAGACTGGCTGTCTGACTCAGCTAATCCACTCCAGACCAGTGGACCTTCATGCTAAGCACAGAATCTCTTTAGTTCTTCACCAGATCATCTGAACTCTTTGACAGCTCAATGATTTACATAGTGGTAACAACTGGGAAGTAAATCACAGAAACACTGAGGTCAGAAGGGTGCTCTGTAGATCACCCAGCCCAAACGTTCTGCTCAGAGCAGGATCACATTGAGAATGTTGCTCAGGGTCACATCCAGTAGGGTTTTGTATATCTCTAAGGGCAGAGACTCCAAAACCTCCCAGAGCAACCAATTCCAGCGTTTCACCGCCCTCCCAGTGAGCTTTTTCTTACGTTTAAATGGAATTTCCGGTGTTCCAGTTTGTTTAGCTTAGTGATATGGTTTAGTGGAGCACTTGTTAGTGTTAGGTCAGAGGTTGGACTAGGTGATCTTGGAGGTCTCTTCCAACCTAGATGATTCTGTGATTCCCACTGATAAGTTCCCCTCTACCCTGAGCCTTCCTGTCTCTAAACAAAACAACTCCAGTGCTCTCAGCCCCTCTGCATATGCTAGATGATCCAAGCTCTTCTTAATCATCATCTTGACCATTCATTTACTCATTCCACTATGTCCACGTCTTTCTTTCACTGGGAGCCCAGTTGTATCTCACCAGTGCTGAAAGGAGGGGAGGATCATCTCCCTCCACCTGCTGGCATCACCCCTGCTGGCCTTTGCCACGAGGCTCCAGTTCATGCTGGCTCCTGTTCAATGTGGTGTCCACCAGGACCTCAAGGTCCTTCCTCTCTCAGCTGCTTTCCAGTTGGTTCTCCAGCCTGTTGTAGTGCCCTGGGGTTGCTCCTCCCCAGGTTCAGGACTCAGCATTTCCTCTGGCTGAACTGCAGGAGGTTCCTCTCAGCCTATTTGCCAGCCTATTGATGTCCCTCTGGAGTATCAGCCATTCCTCCAAGATCTGTATTGCTTCATTTTTTTTATGTAGGGCTTCATCCGAAGGATACTGATTAATGTTGAAGTACTCTAAAAGGAGAGATAATATTAAAATTTATTTTTGCCATTTTCACCAATGATATGATTTTATACGCTCTGACAAAGCTGTGTCCGAGATGTGCATGCACGAACTTCACCTGTGCATGACCAACTCAGCTCAAAGGTCTGATATCCAACATCCAAGCTCATGCATCCACGCTTGAAAAGGGAGAATCCTACACAGTGACAGTGATACACATCCTATCCAGTCATTCCTTCCTTATTTTATTTGTCTGGCAAATTAAAGCTATAGAATTAAAAACTAGCAGCTGCAACTCGAAGCGGCCAATATCCTCTGTGGATGACTCATCCTCTTGTGTGGGTTTTTTTTGGGGATGTGTTCCTGAGGAAATGAAAACATGCTAGTGTATTCTTTTCTCTTGCTTTCTTACACAACTCTTCCTGTTCTCCTGCTTAGACACTGGTGTCTGTCCCTGTGGCTCCTCTCTGCATCAGGCTACACGTGCTGCCCGATCCCCAGTATTATGCAGGCAAGGCAAAGGAACTCCAAAAGGTAAGTGTTGTCTTATCACACCTGCTTCCACCTCTGGTGTGTCACAGCCAAGAAGGATGAAAATACCCATGGAATGGGCAGAGACTGAAATGAGGGAGAGAAATGAAAGAGAATGTGGTCCTGATGAAAGACCTCCCCTGTGCTGTTACAGCGAAGTGATGACAGCCAAGGGCTGTTTGATTTGCAGTGGAAAAGCAGTGGGCACACCCCACGCTGAGCATTACATGGCCTTGCAAGACCATGAGAAACCAAACTGAGGAAGCTGAGCTGTGCTTGCGAAGCCTTGGTTCCAGTCACTTCTCAACACACTTCCTCATGGTGCCCCACTTTCCAGGTGGCTCAACGTGCACCAAGAGCTGGTAAGAGCTGCAAGAAGCCTGACCTCCTCCGAGTTGCCTTGAGGTTAGGGCAAAGATCACAGCCAGGGCCAGAGCCACTGCAGCAGTAAGCCAAAAGGGATGGTTAGTGGGGAGGCAAACTCCATGCAATGATGGGAACCCCTCTGTCCAGCTAAACTGAAGGATTAAGGAAGCCACAGCGCAGGGATTGTACCTGCAGTAAGCTGATAAATCAGGATCCAGGAGCCCCAATCCTCTCCCTTTATCCCCAGGCTACTTGGGGACTTCAGAGCTTCAGCCTGTTGGAAGGAGCTGTTTTGCACAGAGGTTCTCCCGTGCTCTGGTACGGCTTCTGATGAACTTTACATCAAGTAAAAGGTGTCTCCGTAATGATGTAGGCTTGGCTCTCTGAGCCTAACATGCTGGATATGAAAGGAGCTGACATGCTGAGGTTTTCTCATATTCCGTATTTTTAAGTGCTTTTGAGACTTAAAAATGTGCTCTAAAATGCTTCCCTTTAATTTCCTTAAAATTGTTACTGGAGCTGTTGGTATTTCTGACATGTGTCAAATGCATCCTTTTCTCTGTTCTTTCTCCCCCACTACACAGTACATACAGAGATATAAAAAAAGGTTTTCAGCTTGGCACTTCACTACCCTCCTCCACACTTTTTGAGCACTTAGCCCTTTTTTTTTTTTTTAATAATAAAAAAGAAACTAAGGGAGTGCACCTAACTGAACATATAATTGTTTCATGTAAAGTTTCCCCAGAGAATTATATGATCTCAACCTGTCTTCCTTAGGCAGCATATAATCATGCAATCTACTGGTTCTTTGTTTCTCTTCGTTTTTTCCCCCCAATACTTGTAATAAAGTTTTCCACCTTGTCTAGACATTTCTGACACGCATTTCTTCATCTCAGCAGCTGCAGCAGCTCTGCTCTTTCCACACCTAGGTCCAGCATCTCAGCAGCACCCAACTCCTCGTTCCAGTGTCTCCTCTGCCAGCACTGGCCACATTGAGATCACAGGTACTCCTACCCCTTCCAGCCACATCTTTTGTCTCAACAAAGGGATTTTTATTTTTTATGTTTGACATCGGGACTGTTACCCCATTAGGGTGAAGGCTCTCTCTTAATGGGAGAACACCCACAATGACCAAAATGGGCCGTGTTTGACAATTGGTGGCTCTGAATGCTACAGTAATTGCTGTTAATAGGTAAGTATGATCAGTTTTTCCATTGCAGTAGGATTTAACAGGAAAAGTAGGACTGCCACCTTTATTTCTATTTTAAGAACAAATGACAGTATTTCCATCCAAAAACTCTTTGTACATGGAAAGATGGCTGTGATATTTCTCGGAAATTGTGGTTTGCCTGCCTTGCCTTTCCATTGCTTCTCTCACCAGCCTACATCCCCTGCTGATACAGCACAGCTGGAGCACCGTAAACCAGAGCCTCCCCACCATGGGAAGGGTGGAGGCAATACAGCACCATGCTGTCTGACCAAAGGTTCCCCAAAATTCCCACTGAGCACTGCAGCAGTGTTTCACGGTCCCATCAGAGGCCTGGACAGCATGCTACTGCTGGAAAAGCTCCATTTTCTGTCAGCAAAAAGCCCTGTCTTCCCATCCCAGGTCTGGATGAGTCCACTCGTTCAGTTAATGCTGAGGCAGGGGATAAGTATTGCTTATAGAGCAGGAATCTCCTCTCCCCTAGTTCATACACAAGGGCAGAGAGAGCAGAACGTAAAATTATTTGCCATTGTGTATTGGAAAAGTGCAAACAAAGTTACCTTGGAATGGGATCGCATCCATTCAGGCTCTAGGCTTTTTGCCAGTCACCTAGCAAATATGTTCCCTGGCATGAATGTTTGCTGAGAAAATAAATCACATTTTTAGGCTTTTGTACAAAGTAGCACTGAAGTATGTAGTGGTGAGTATTTACCTCTCCAGCCTGATCATCAAAACTGCCCTCATCCACTTGGAGATTAGAAACATACCAAGCAGCTGATGTGTCCAAACAGCGAAACTCTGGATCCAAGCAACGGAGCTGCAGATTGTGTTTATACACCCTGAGTGTCCCAAGTACCCGCATCTCACAAAGCAACCACAAAGCCCTGGGGCACTCCAGAAAGGAGGAAATAGCTTGTAACTGGGTTCAGTTGCATCCAGGTTTCCTCACAGGCAATACATCCCACTCCCAGCTCCGCTGCACCTCAGCTACCCTTGCACAGTTGTGCCTGGCCCTGCAGAAAGCAGGGGGTTGCTCTCGTCTGGTCCATTCTAGGGGATGAGGTTCTCATAGCCCAAGGCCATGCGGTGAGTCAGACCTACCCTGTGCTTCCTGATCTGCCAGCCACTGATACTTGCAACCTATTTACAAATTCACAGCAGCCTCCATCAGCAATATTACTAATAGTCCAAAACATTCAAAATACTTATGCAGGAGACCTTATTTATATATATATATACATATTGTGAACATGCTTTTGTTTTTCTTTATTTCCCTTTGAAATTTGGAGCCTTCAAGGACCACATTTAGCAGGTTCTTTCAGCAACTGCATTGTACTTTGAAAAAAAAAGACAATCCCTTGATCCTTGATGGACCTTTGCATGAAACCCAGTGTTACATTGCAGCAGACTGCTGTAACCCTGATGCATGGTGCATTTGCAGCGCTTGTGATGAAAGTGAAAGAAACTTCTCCACGATGATTCACGGGCCCCTGAAGTAACTGCTAGAGAACAGCAGGCTGAACTTCCACGCCTGTCACAGCACTTCAGGTGGCTCCAGCAGCATGCTCTGCTCTCTGAAGTCCAGAGCGGAGGACATCCACCAGTCCTGAGTGCCAAGAGACCTGGCCGCTTGACTCTCCACTGACTCAGTCACTGGCTCCTGGTAAGTCACCAGAAATGATTCATTTTGCCCCCTGCAGAATGGCTCCAAGGGCTGCCCTCTCAGGGCAGAAGCTCTCTGACCCACGGCTGAGACTGGCACCAAACACCACACCAGCACTCCTGATGAGCAGCTCTGTTCTCGCATCAGGGCCACGGCACAGACACCAGCAAAGGAAACACCCACAGTGCTGTGGGAAACCAGCTGAAGCCCCCTTCTCATTTAGATGTCCCAGACAGCTCACAAAGCAGCAAAACACTGCAGTTTCTTGGTGCTCATCTTCCTTTTGACAAAGACCAGTTGGAACTGATTTTAAGGCCTGTTGGAGGATCTCCACCTTCTCCATTTTTTGGAAAAAATTCTTTGCAGCAGCCTCTGTTAAATTCTTCCCCTCTCACCCAGGGTTAAAAACCACTGGGTTGTATCCTGATTAACAGGACTTAAGAAAACTGGGCTCGTGCCTTAATTAGTCTCCAGCACCAGACCTGCATCCTTCCATGGAGTGAGGCAGGGGCTGTTCTACGACGGAGGATGGAGGGAACTCACCAAAGCAGGACCCAGGAACTGCAGTGGCTTGAAGCAACACATGGGTGAGATGAACACAGGGAGAAGCCAGACTGGATGAATGAAGGAACAGAATAAGCCGCAGCATGGCTCATCACGACCTGCTGCATACCCAGTGCTATCCATGACCAACAATCACCACTGCCAGCCCATCTGCAGTGTACCACTGCTGTACCATATGAAAGTGCTCTATTTTCCTAATAATGTCCTCTGTGAACGTTACTTCCTCAGCTGGCAGCTCCAATCTGCCAGAACATTAATGAGAAACTAACGGAGAGTGCCAGGCTAATACAGAAGCAGTAACGAAGATTAATCTCTCCCCAGAGAGGATGACATGCCTTCTCAGAGACCTAGTGTACTGCAACAACATTTGGAGGGTCAAAATTAGGTCAATGAAAGCTAATTAATAGCAAACCTCTCTTTTGTTCTTAATTATGGAGCAGTGCATAGGGATTTCAAATAAGTCACTTATTCCATTCTAGCCACCGCATTCCCAAGCCAGGACCTGTAACCCATGTACCAAGCTGATGGCACATCTGGGCACAGTCTATCAAAGGGAAACAGAGCCAGAGAGACTGGGGCTGCAACTATGGCACCAACTCTTTTGAGTCTGTGCTTCAGAAGAGGGGTTGGATGAGCTTCTGTACGTACCCTGCATGAGGCAGGACCCTAATGAGTGACTCCTGTGCCTCAGGCCAGGCTGGGGTTCTTCTCTTCTCTCCACAACAAGCTCCTGGCCTCCTCCAGCCTCCTTTGGAGTTGATTCTCCCACAACACAACTTCCCACTGTATCATTTCTTGCCAAAGGATGCTGTTGTTGCTAGTATCATATGTACAGCCTTAACGAGTTTGCCAAAGAGTCTTCGTCAAGGGCTGCTGCAGGCACTGATGTTACTACTGGCCTGGAAAGTTCCCCAAGGCAGAAGCAACACAACAAGACCATGCAACACCAGAGAGCCTTGCTGTTTGGGAACAGTTCAGAGTTCCCAAGCACACTGCTGACTTCTACTGTGACCTTATGGCATTTCAGTTCCCTCACCTTGAGTCCTTGCCCAGCACATGAAGGCACTCTGGTAGCCGAGGCTATGGCATCCCAGGTAACGCTACCATCTCTGGTACTTGTGTGTCCACAGCGCCTCAAGACACAACTGCAGCAGCAACCATCACAGGTTTGGTGAGGATGCCTCCATTCTTCCTTCCTTCCTGGGTAAACCCATAGGAAACAAACAAACAATCAATCAAACAAAAAAAACACCAGCAAATAACTCCCCCTGGGCTGTCTCTGTGCTGGAGAAAGCACCAAGTTTCACTGCTGTAGAGGAGCCATCAAGCAGTGAGCACTTAGAATTCCTGTCTTGCCTGGCCAGAGCCCAAATGGAAGCAAATCCTCTGCAGGCAGGACAGTCCTGCCAGCTCCACGATCCCACAGAAGGAAAACATGGTGGGTCTAAAGAAAATCAATGACTTTGCACATGTCTTTGCAAGGCTGTGTTCAGAGAGGTGACTGGCACTGAAATTGCCCTACTTACCACAAAAGCAGTGACAGTGCCACTGCCGCAGCAGGGGACAGACTGACTCCAGGCCTTGTTTCAAATCTTGTTTTCTAATTGGAGCAGGCTGTGCTGCCAGCAAGAAAACAGGATCCTTTACAAGATCAGACGTACACGTCTCCCACCGTGCTTTCAAAGGTGAGCCAACAGCTCCACAGCAGCGTTTAACTCTTGCCCAGCTGACATCCACAGCACCAGCCCACGCGTTCTCCCCAGGGAAGGAAGGAGCGGGGTGAAAATTCAGTGGGCTGCAAAGATGTGCAGTGGCTGCTGCAGTCAGGGACACTGCAGCGTGTTCTGCAGAGAGGTGCTGGAAACATCAGTGTTGGGTGAGTACCTCTGATACGCAGCCCACCTTTGAGAAACGTTGGGCAACTTTACTGCGAGCTACACAAGATAACCTTTGCATGCCAGCAGAGCAAAGGGAAGCCGTCCTAATTCTGTCTGAACCCTTGCATGGGACTAATTGCCTGCCCAGCATTTTAAGCTGGGCAGTGCCATTTCTTGCACATGTCCTCTCCAAGGACTGTTGGCAAAGGCTCTGGAACAGAGCTGCCACCTCTTCCGACTCACACCCCCTGATGAAGAGGGCAATAGCAGGACCTGCTTCAGGCCACAGGTCTCGGTCTGGAGGCGCTCTGTCCCTCCTGAAGGAGCATGCTGCCCAAGCACCCGCTGGAAACACTGCTCCCTCAGCATCCGAATAAAACGCCTTGTGTATTCTGTTAAGGCAAGCACTGAAAGGAAGGTAGGATGTACCCTCCTCCTGCTGACGGCAGAAGGACTTAGGCACCTAATTCTGCTAAGCTCCTTTGAAAGCCCTGCATTTCAACACTCAAAGGTCTGCTCTAATTAGCCAAATAATTGCCCATGTCACGTCTGTGCTCTTAAACGATTGGCAGTAGAGCTAACTTGCACTGATTCACCTTATTCTGACTCACAGTCATTTATTTGCACTATTTCCAGCACTGGGAGTTGAAATAATGATACATGTTTTCCATACGTTCACAAGAGAATTCATAAACTGCCAAGAATACATGACTTCATGTCCAGCTGTGCCAGGCTCTCCTAGCCTCTTGACAAAATAAAACCAACCAGACCGAAGGTGTGCTTAAGTTTGGGGAAATATTAATGCAGGGAAGCCTTCTTTTTCCCCATTTTTAAGTCAAATTCCAGCACTGAGAGAGCTTTGAAGGCCATCAGACTCAAAGACAAAGTCTTTCCTCTACTACAGCTTTAGCTCTTCCTCCCTGATCTTGGTTGGTGCCTCCACACTTTGCAGGAGTGCCCCCTATGAGGGCTGAAAATGCCCTCCTGGCTCCACAGTGCATTTCTAGTTCTGATTTTTGTGTTATAATTGATCAGCAGCTGGTGCCAGCTATGACAAAGACACTGTTCCCCAGCACACAGCCCCCCACTGCTCTCGGCAGGGACAATGCAAGCCACCTCCAGCTATGGCACCATCCTCTGAGCCCTTCACATTTATTCCCTCCAGTACTGTCCAAACTTCACCCCGGGGGCCTAACCTCCCATAGCCCATGGAGGTTTACTTTTCTTCAATATTTTCATCCTTCCAGTGGGAAACTCAACTAAATAAAAAGCATCGGGGGATTGATTTCAGCCTTCTAAATTCAGTCATCAACTAAGGCTTTTTTCTAGAATCATGTTAAGCAGAGGAAGGACTTCTCATCTGTCAACGTCAGGTGCATACCCCAAGGCTGCTGAAATTACAGGACGACAGTGTACTGAATACAAGTTACGGGTACACTAGCAAGTTAGGTTACCTTTAAACTAAACCATCTATCCCATCACATCACTTCTGACCAGTTCAAGAGATGAACTAACAGAGATAAAACCACTAACTTAATTCTCAAGCCAGAGCAGTGCCAAAAAGCCCCTCGATTTAGCTGAACACAGAGTGAGGGAAGCTGCTCACAGAGCCTGACTCTGAATCACTCTCCAGAATCTGAATCACTTGGTTTCAGCTCAGCCAGCAGCTCCAGCTGAAAGCAACATGACCGTAACTCCCTGTGTGTAGTTCCCCCAGGGAAATGCAAAAATCATCTTGCAGCCATCCCGCAAAAGAGGAACCAAGAGCATGCCGGGCACTGCGTAGCACAGCAGCGGGGTGCTGCACCAGCAAGCTATCCCACAACAGCTCCACCTCCATCTCCCACTGATCTCCCGTTTTCTCTAGTCATTACAAGCACAGCAAGCAGTGATGGTCAGGGCTGTGAGCAGAAAGGAAATTACTTCAAGTGGCCAAGGACACGGGGAAGGGCACTGAAGACGAGCCATGCTGGGGTGAAACAATCCGTCAGAGCCACATACGGCTTTTCAGCAGCATGTGCAGGCAGTGGTGGGGTAGGACTATGGGAGCATCCCCTGACTGACTTTGAGCCAGTGCCCTCAGACCCATTCCTTAATGTCAGTTCTCTCTGCTTTTTCAAAGAGGAATGAAACCTGGCCATGTCCATGTAGGCCAGCCCTGTTCAGTGAGGATTTGTGGGGCCACCCCACCAAGGATCTTGTGAATCTCACCCTGCACCGAGCCCTCTGCTTTAACAAATTGGCGGTGCTAACCAGACCGCTTCTGTGACCCACTTACACACAGACTCAGCTCCTCTGAAACCAGGACAATTAGCGAACTTAATTGCAGTGACTTTGCAAACAGCCTTTTGTCATGATAAACACCGAGCGCTAAGACAGGATCAACGAACCCAAGGCAAAGTTGCCGCTGCCGCCTGTCCTCATCAGGTAACCAGGGAGACGGGCGCCATGATGGGATGAGGGTGCATGTGGCAGCCGTCCGCAATGCTCACCCAGTCCCACGGCACAGGGACGGTTCTGTCTCCCTGCCACCTCACACAGGGACACGGCTCACAGCCAGATGTGACATCCTGCTTGTGGGGATATGCCCCGAGTCCCCACAGTTCTCCACTATGTGCTGCAATACCAAAACCCAGCCACTGCTGAGTTCCTCGGGTGATTAAGCACTTGCTCAACTGCAGTGTGTACAGTTTAGAGGTAATTTCTCAAAAACTTCTCAGTGGCTGGAGCTCACTGGTCTTCCTGCCGCTCGCCAGAGCTCAGGCTAAGGCAGTCACCAGAAAATTCTCTCAGGGTGGTTTTAACTCTGCCTCCCTTTCGTCAGCTTTCTAATGGTCATTCCAGGAGATCTGGGAGGGGAAATGAATGTTTGGAAGATGCATAATTGAATAGAATATGTAACAGTAAGCAAACTGGGAGGATAAGTATTAAACTGATTAAAAGCTACGCAAGCAGAACAGAATTAAAAATAAATGAAACTCAGATACAAGCCTAATGAACAACTGCTTTTAACCAAATTTACACATTCCTCTCCATGATCTGTGCGCCAACCTTTTGTGTGGGCAAAGAGGCCACAAGAGGCCAAACGCCCTGGTTGGTAGTGCTCTCTCCCCTCTGTCAGCCTGCATTAGCTTTTTGCTCTCCATGTGATACCATCTCCCAGCTTTGAGGTCCTGGGACCATGCTGGGAGCACACAGCACCTCGTGGCCAGGCCACAGCTGATGCCCTTTCAGGTACAAAAGCCTAAGTTTAGCACAAACAATTTTGAATGCAAAAGCAGGCCCTTAAAAAAAAAACAAAGCAAAACAAGAAAAACACCACCAAGGTACCAGACTACGTAATGGATATTAGCCATGTTCCTAAGTGTCTTGCTGAATCAAGGCCATGGCCTATTGATTACAGACAATGTATTAACAATGCAGTTTTCTCAGAAATGATGACTGAGCCTACATGTAGGCCAAGCCTATCCAGCAAGTACAGCAATGCCAACTGCCACGGGAGTTACCAGCAGCCTGGGGACAGTCACACCAGCAGCGCATGACTTCTCCCGCTCCCCAGGACTGCTTGCACACCTTTACGTGCTGCATTGCTGCATGAGTCGATGGGATCACCAGCACCCTGTCCTGCCAGAGGCAATTCAGAGCAGTGAAAATTGCTCCTAATTGCACATGGGCTGTCATTCCGGAGGTGTACTGTGCAGAGGTTTATAGCTGTGCCTAATCATACAGGTCTCGAAATGAGAGGTAATTAATAGAAATTAATTAGCCAGTGTTAATCAAGTAAAATCAATTAGCAAATGCTATAATAACAGCTGTATGGTAGGATTGCAAAGGATAGACTATTCAAGACCCAGACTAATGCTCCAGTGTCATTCCCAGTATCTGTATTTAGCACCACCCCGTCTCAATGTTCAGGGCCAGTTCCCTACACAGGGCAGAGCTGGAGTGTCGGTTCAGTGCCTGTCAAGCACTGGGGCACAGCTCAGCCCTTGCTATTATGCTCAGCTGCCAACAGAAGACACAGCTACAAGCGTAAGATGTGCTACTTCTCTCTGCAGTACTTCGCTGTGTGGTCCACATCCCTGCCCAACCCCAGCAAGTGCTCACAGCCTGAATATTCTGATCCCATCTCATTTATCCCGAGCACCACCAGGTGCTCCTAACAGTGTCTGTGGTTACTTCGTCTCCCAGGGTGCCAGCTTGTGCTCACAGCACCTTAAAAACATAGCCAAAGTGGCTTAGAAGATGAGTTCCCAGTTCTGGGGAACAGAAGTTTTGATGGTGGTAGCTCACTCCTCTTGCGCAAGCCAAGGCAGCTGAAGC